CAATATTTTGTTGCAGTTCTTCAGAGAGTGGTATTATGCTAATCAGTTGTTCTGTTCAAAAAGGTATGCATGCTTATAAATTATCACACCAAAGCAACCACAATAATTGAATATTACAAACTGTATTCTGTTATGCTGGTTCAGTGTGGGTTGATACATAGATGTTTTCTGATTTCCCAATCAAGAGGTGAGGGAGAGTGAATGGCTTAAAATAGATGTGTTGGCTTCCATGCCTAATGAAGGAAAAAGATTGGGTCTCCCCACTTCCAGGCTATACTTTAACTGCTACATTACACTGGGTGTCATGTATATCCATCCATCTATCCAAACTCTCTTTCCTTCTCTGTATTTTTCCCTCATGGGTTTTAATTTTGAATATTGATACATCATCAGATTTTTTTTTGTATTACCTTGGCTCTTGTTTTAGAGTATCTGTAACTTTAAGCAATTTACAACACGCGTACTTTAATAATTAATCCAATTATATTTACTAATACATATAATATTAGAAAATAATTATGAATCAAGTTACTTATTTAATATTTTGGACTTAATAAGTATTTGCTTAGCTGTAAAGATTTTGAAATGTTTACAGCTGGCTCTAGCTATTTAAAGGGAACATTTCTGTGTATGTATGTATAATTGTTTCTAATATTATGAACAATAATATCTAAGCTGAATAGAAGTCATATAACCTGCTCTATCATTTGAAAAATATGTTTCATTGTTAGAATTCTAGGAAGTCATAACTCTAAAACAGAGGTGATATTCAGCAGGTTCTAGAGAACCGGTAGCAGAAATTTCCAGAGAACCATTTCTGACTGGCCCCATCCCTGTCTATTCTCTGCCTCCCGAGTCCCAGCTGATTGGCTGGGTCTTCTTTTGTTGTCCTGCACAGGAGAACAGAGCTGGAAAGCAGGTTAGTAGGGTGGGGAAGGAATGGGATTTTGCAGTAACCTTTCCCCAGGAGTGGAGAGGGAATGGAGATTTTGCAGTATCCTTCCCCTGGAGTGGGGAGGGAATGGAGATTTTACAGTATCCTTCCCATGTCATGTCCACTGAGCCACGCCACGCCCACCAGGCCATGCTCATAGAACCAGTAGTAAAAAAATTTGAATCACATCACTGCTCTAAAACAATTGGCCTGTTCAAAAAAAGATTTCTATATATTAAACATATAATTCTGTTAAAATTATTGAATTTGGTAATGGGACAAATTTGTTCACTGATTTAAACTGTGACACATATTTCTAAGAATGATAGAAGGCTTTTACTATAGAAGAAACAGGAAGGCCTTAACATGATCACTATGTGAAATATTCAAAACATTGGTGAAATAACGTGTTCTGATGGAATAAATAATTTCATTTAAGTTTTTAGTGAAATAATGTCCCAAAGATTTAAAGGGATAAAATCTTACAATATGGTATATTAGGTATCAGTTTAGCGTTATAGAAAAATATGAATTTTTGGTAGTTTGTTTTTTAAATCATGATTCTATAATATGACAGTGCTGAAATAGCTTTTATAACTTTTTGTGAAATATAAATTCAAATATTTATTTCAAGCTTACAGCTCATTTTGAAAATGGAAAAATAGCTGATTTACAGTATATTAAACATCCAGATGAAAAATTCAATTGTTAACAAAACCAAGTCTTGGCTGATAAGTAACTCTTTTTAAGGATAAGACAATCTATTAGATGATTTAAGCTATCTGGCAGAAAAATATTCCTCTTGGTATCAAATTCCTTTTGTACTGCATTTATAAATTTGAAAGTAGCTTTTGATTTGATGTTTATGGAAATATTGTGGAAGAAACTGATATTGGTAGTCTTCAATCTGGGAACCTGCCCATTACAGTCATGTCTTAAAAAAGGTTTGTGATTGCCTTGCTTAATGACTCTCCATACCTGCTTTCCCTGATGTAGTCATTAAGCAGAGCATGGGATAAGGGAGATCCTCGGAGGCCTAACACAGACCCTGACTTGGCTGACCTGAGTCTCATAAACTTTCCCTCCATACCTTGATGACCTTATCCTCCACTTTTCCTAGCAGGCCTTGAGTTTCTTTCCCATCCAGCTACTTATCCACACTGCGAAACTCTGGCTAGCTATATTGTGTGGGAAGTCACTGTAGCTTGTTGGCCTCAGGCTTCCTTCACACCTAGCAATTCAGTACCCAGGGACTTGCAAGACACAGCCTGTTCCTCAGCCATCTCTTGGGCACTCCGGCACTCAAAATAACACACACACCCCCAGCTTCTGAGAGAGGCACTCAGGTGATGCGATGCAAGGCTCAGCTTTCCTACAGATACAGCTTCATGGCAGCATTGAGCTATTCTGCAAGCAGGTGTTGCTTTTGTGATCTTGTAGGAGGTTCTTTTTTAAAAATAATAAATAAACAAAGAAATAAACAAAATAAAAGTCTCCTTAAAAAGAGAATCTTCTGTAAAATTGTGCTTAAAGAATAGCATGACACTGCCACAAGGTTGCCACTGCAGGAAAGCTGAGGTGCCAGGCATTTGCTGGCAAAAGGATTACAAGCTGCAGCCATTTTTTACATCTTGCAGCCAGCCTGAATTGCCCTGTATGGATGGGAACAAAGCATGCATGCGAACTGTATTTGTGTTCTGACCAAGGCTTCCCGAGACAGTAACAATCACATGCTGTTCCCAAAAACTTTTTATTTTAACAGCTGTGAATTATATGCATTCACAGTCCATATTGAGTCCCAAACAGTTTATGAATAGTCCAACAGAAGTCTGCCACAGTCTTTCGGGATAAGGCTGATAAGCACCCACCTTTATCTCCCTTGAAATGCTGCCAATGACTAAATTGCCAATTAGCTGTACCAGGCCAAATGGAGCACAAAGTCAACACGGAGCTTCAGAATTTAAACTGACCAGAAGGAACAAAGTTGCTTCCTGCAAAGGCTCATGTCCATTTGTTCCTCCTTTATGTCTTATGGGAGGGGCCAATCATCTCCAAGCCTTACTCCCAAGTCACCCCTTTTGTCTTAACTGTTCTTGCCTTCTGGCAGCTCTGCGCAAGTGCACACTGGGAACAGGCTCCCCCTGTTCCTCTGCCTCTCTGATGTCAGATTCTGGAGGTTTCAGAGTCAGCACATAACTCTCAGATGGCCCTGGCCCCATCTCTGTTACGGACGCAGATCCTTCGTCCGAGCCCTCCCAAGACTACAGAACTGGCTCATGTTCCTCCCCACTGCCCGACTCTGCTGCAGCTCTGCAGGCCGCCAACGGACCACAACAATCTGCTTTTCACACACTACAGTTGGCCTGAACTCCCTTGGATGAATGAGTGAATGGATAAGAAGAAGGTTCAGGGCCTGCAAGCTGCAGTTTATTTGCATGGACTGGCCTAGGTGAATGTTGAGGTGGTCTGAACTCCCCTGGATGAATTGAATGGATGGTGAGACAGAAGCTAAAGGTCTGCAAGGTGCAACTGTTCCACCATACTGTGGTCAGTCTAATTTCTCCAGGTGAATGAGTGGCTGGATGGGAAGGAAGCTCATGGCCTGGCAGGACAGGATGAATGTGGGGAAAGATGGGGGGATACTGCAGTGTTCACCATGGTCAACCATAAGGGTGAATGACTGTGGGGGCTGCAGCAGCCCATTATGAAACCTGTAGACAAAGCAAAAAGCTACACTGCATATGTACAGATAGTTGTTGTGTAGTGACCAAAATTGTGATGGGACCGCCAAAATATATTTATGACCCAGTTCTGATGGCTGGGTCTCCTGCAAGATCATGGGATCATATTTCATGTACTTGGCAGCTGCTATTTATTTATGACTGTTTTCAGTATCCTGCAATTGTGACCATAGTTTATGACATTTTTGTCAAAAAGTGGCATTTATTTCTGGTTTTCAGAAAAAGTGCCCCACTAGAACAATGGGTTTGTTTAGTGACTTAATGTCCATTGCATTTGCTTAACGATCATTCAACAACCATGATATTTGCCTAACAACTGCTGCAAAAAAGTTGTAAAATTGGTTTTTACATGATAACCTGCTTTACAAGTGTGTGTTTACTTTTGACCAGAAGCTCAATTGCAGTTTTAAGTTGAGGACTACCTATAGTTGGTATAAAGTGGTGTATCTTTGTGGGACAAAATTTAGTCATTTGTTTACTACAAGTGTTTAAAAACATTCTTTGAAATTTTGGTAGATTGTTTAAAAAAAACTTCTGGAGGGATACTGTTAGGAATATGAGTCACCTAACAGCTATTTGGGTTAGAAATATATAAACCAGGATAAACATTTTAAAACTGTATCTTTAAGAGCATGCTAAAAACTACAATTGGGTGTGGTTTCTCAAATGGCCATAAGATGGAGCCAGAAACCTGGTTTATCTTAGGCCTTAGTCTCAGAAGAGAGTGTGAGTGTATCTCTGTTTCCTTCTGTTGGAAAGTATTGCCGTTCCTCCATTTTTTCCTAATTGACTGATATTCCTGGATTTGATGTAAGTTTGTTACTGAACTGTTTTTTGACACTGGACTTTGATATTTGGATTATCCCTGGATTGAAAAACTGACTGATTTACCTGTGAATGACTTTTGGACTGCTTATCTGGAACTTTGCTTAAACTTTCTGGAAGTAAAAACCTACATTTACTGTACAGTGTATCTGTGTACTGTGTGTGTATTATTCAAACACTTCTCTCAAATACGTCTTCCTGTATGCTCTCATTCTTCTAACGGGGAATTACCTCAACAGATACCATAATTAAGGTGAAGAATTATAACCATAACTATTACCATTTACATTTCTTTACCCTTTATCTTATTTTCCAGTCTGAAGAACTTGACAAATAATTTTATTTTTTTGTTATATCAATCTTCATTGAGAGACATATAAGTGATTCTTCAGCATGCTTTCACAGAAGCAGGTGCTCATAGGATCATACAGAGTTTCAGCAACTTTTTAGAGAGAAAGGTATTAAAATATAACTGCTTTGTTTTGCTTCTTTTTATGTAGGTCAAGATTTGATTTGTGTACAGTCTGTGGATGGAATGCTTATGTTGTTTGAACAAGAAAGCTATTCGTTTGGCCGTTTCCTTCCTGGCTTTCTTCTTCCTGGTCCACTGACATATAGTTCTAGAACAGATTCATTCATTACTGTCTCTTCCTGTCGACAAGTTGAGAGCTACAGGTATGTTTAAAAATTATACCCACTGCTCTTTAAAACGTATTTATATAAATATTTCAGAATGATTTACATACATGAAAATCCAAACCTTGATTTAATTAATGCTCCATGTAGTTATTATATAATTTGTGCCAGAGGTCATATCCAGATATTCTAACAGTACTGACTAATATGAAATATCCTGCTACTCTCTATATTTATTAATGCCTGAAAGCCACATTAAATTTTATGGGTTCTTTGTGGTTTCTTTGCAACACAGATATCATTTTGCATTTTTACAGAATGTTTTCTGAAGATAAATGAATTTTTAATGGAAAGAATATGTCTACAGAATATGTAGAAGGCACAGCTCCTATATTTTTCTTTCTCCACGGTGGAGGTTTCCAGAGATCCAGAGGTCATCTTATTCTAGTGAATAAAGAGGGCTAAAAGCAAAATTCTGTTGAAATAATATTTCAACATAGTTCTGTCCTTTTCTATTGCCAGCTATACCTAGCTTGCTGCCAATCCTTCCTTTAGAGAAGAAAGTTTTTCCAAATTGCAAAGTCTAGGGATTGAAATTGAGATAGATAGAGCAAAGAGTATGTATTTATTTTCAATTTAATTCTGTAGAACCAGATTAATTGCATCTTTGGGTATTGAAGGAATTTGCCGATGGCTTCACCAAATGTTTAGTTTATATATTTTTGAGAAATCATTAAGAAATTGGTGAAGTACAAGATGTCTGGAGAAGGGCAAAGATCCCTATAGACAGGAAAAGAAAAAATAGAACTGTAGAGAATTCAGTCTGACACCAATATCAGAACAGATTAAAAAGATGTAGAAAGCAATGTGTTAGTTATCAAAAATCACTATGGTTTTACTTTCTTATCAGATTTACTCTATCACATTTTTTGATCAGGTAATTTATGTAGTAGTTTGTAGAGATTATATAGGTGTAATATTTATTAGACTAAGGGATCCTCCAATCAACTGACTCTGAATGGTGTATAACTCACATTCATAATGATTGAAATAAATGCATAATAATAAATTAAAAACAAGATCATGCATCATAATGCCACCCTATATACATCAGGAATCAAACATTCCAAAGTAAAAATAATTACTAATGTAGAGTAGTAGTCATAGAGCCATCCCCCTAGACATAGTGAAGTAGCCAAGATCAGGAGGGAGGGGTCATCTGTGATATTATTTCTAAGATGTGATTTTATAACAAAAAAACATAGTTCCTTGGCTCTGTAGATGGCAGTCTCAGATTGAGAGGCATATAAAGAGCCCTCCCTACAAAACCTTACCAAGATTCAATATGTATATTATGCATGTTATTGAAAGAAAGTCATCCTGAAGATATCCAAATCCTAAACCACGAAGAGTGTTACAGATAATAACCAGCACTTTGAAATGCTTCCTGAAACCTATGAGCAACCAATACAGTTCTCAAAATAGAAGTTTTTTTATGTGGGATCCTTAGTGTTGTCTGAGTTACATTAAAAGGCATTATATTAATGCCTTTTGGTAACACATAACTATTCAGGTTATTGCATTCTGGACTAACTTTGGAGATAACTTTGTTATCTTAGTGCTTTTCAAGCATAGCTTTATGTAATGGACATTGCAATACTCTTATAAAAAGTAATTAAAGTGTAAATGACACTGATTAAACATTATCTTTATATTAGCCAAGCATTTGATAAGGCGCCTTATGATAGTCTAATAGTAAGTTACTTAAAGGTGATCTAAAGGGCACTAACAAATACATAGAGGGTGTGAAAATTGTACTTCAAAAAGTTCATGCTATGAAACGAGAAGCCACTAATGTTTGTTCATCAAACTGGCCCAGTGATTGAGTGGAATTTTACAAAGTTTAGTCCTGAGTCCAGAATTTTTCACTATTTTTACTAAAGACTGAAAAGATGAAGGAAAGTTTATCCAAATGTACAAATTAGACAAAATCTCTCTATGGAGATTCTCTCATCCAGGTCATGGTTGTCCCAAAGGTGCTTTTTCAAGAGGCAACTGAAAGGGATTTTTTGATTTTTTTCTTTGAAGACGTTTTTCCTCTCATCCAAAAAGCTTCTTCAGAAAGTCCAGTTGTTTCTTGAAAAAGCACCTTTGGGAATCCTAGAAGATAAAAATATAATTCAAAATGATCAATAAGCTAAAAATAACAGTCCAAAATGCAAATTTCTTCACTAGAAAACCTAAAATAAAGAAGCATGAATGAGAAATACTTGCTTCTTTGCTTTAAAGAGAGGTGTGTCTGTGGGATCCTTGTTGCTCCCTGAGCTTGGTTGTTTTTTTTACATATATTTCATTATTCAAATAGGTAACATCAGTGCTAGGAGGGTGTGGGATTTGCTCTCTGTGCCAACTAAAAAGGTACTTTGGTCTTTTTAGCTGTCAGCAGAAAGAGTGGGGGAAAACAGTGCATTCTTCAAATGCCTGAGATAATTGCCTTGGCAGCCCAAAGTTGTGGGCGGGCAAAAATATTACTGGAGAGCATGATTGATGACTCTTGGCTATGGTTGTATCCCATTGGAGAATATACATCCAGGGGTGGGGGAAAGACCAGGGTCAAGGGAGAAATGAATGGTGAATTTTAGTGTTGGCTGCATCCAGCTAACTCCAACATGGTCATTCCTTAATAAAACTTTTTTTTTACTCTGAGAGATGCAGCTAGAGACTTATGATTTGAATGAGGGTGCCTTTGTTGGAGCCCTGATACTCTGTTTATGTACAAGTGGGTTGCCCTCTCAGTATTATTGGGCATGTTCTTGGTAGCTCTTTGATTAGGCTGTTTACTCATTTCATTTCATTTCATACTGGTGCTTAATTTGTATTCCTAGTACTTTTTAGTGATACTAAATTTAAAGTTTAGTTACTAAATTTAGTGATTTTAAACTTAGAGTTATTGAAGCTCTGCTAAGTCTTAAAAGATGAAGGAATTGGGAATATATATACTTGTGAAAGTGGAAAATATCTGCCTTCTTTAAATAACAGAAATGGTGTGATACAAACTATAGATAGATTAAGCAATGTACTGTATCATTGCTGATTATTGGACATAGAAGAATGGATTTAAGTTTTAGAAGAATTATTCAGTTGAATATTAGAAAATGTTTCTTAACAGTAAGAGTAGTATGATAATGTAACCAGTTATTCAGAAAGGATGTGTTGTTCAAGAGTTTAGTAAAACATCTGTTAAGAATAGATTAATTAGCAATGATTTCTTCAGACTCAGTTATTTTAGGGGATTATAGAATTACAGCTGATAGTTGTAGTTTTACTGGCTGCAGTTGTAGTTTTACTGTAATTCCAAGTATGAATGTTGTATAAGCATATCTGTTCTGCATTATTCTACTAATACTATTTTTTGAGTTATATTATTAGTAGAAATAAATATGTTATCTTATTCTGTTATTTTAGTGAATTCATATTCAAGCCCTGCGTTCCAGATTTTGACTATGTAATCAGATTGTTAGGTAGATTGGTATATTTTGCGTTTTTTCAGGAAGGTTTTCCACATTAAGTATAATAAATGATTACATGATCAGAGTTTAAAAATTGAAGAATGCTGCTAAGAATAAGTGCATGAGCTCCATTCAGTTGTCACTTATTCTCATGCCAGCAATGATCCTGAGTTTCTGGTTTATTTTCTCTGTGAAACCAGATACATTGGCAGCAAACTCAAGTGCTACTTTGGTGTTCAAATCTTTATTTCATAGGAAATAAAGAGATAATGTTAAATGGTTTTTGGAATTGCTTTCTTTGTGCAAAAGCCTTTCTTCAACAGGGAAACCATGGATATTATTCCTGTTCATAGAATGTGAATATTAAAGTCAAAACAGAAGCTCATTATTTTTAAACCTGAATCTTGGAAATCTATAATTTTGTATACATACAACAAATAGGTTTTTTTTGTTGGTCTTTCCCACTGACTATTATTATTTTAGTTTGTGCCATGAGTTTGTAGATCAGCATATTTCAGAACAGTATCTAACTTTGTGCCAAATCTTCTTGCTCCTAGGCTTTACAAAGTAGTGAAATGGTTGCAAACACCCACATTTCCAAGGAATTATTATCTGGATGCCTCTGAACAACTAGCATGTTTTAGTTGAGCTTTGCTGACTTGCAGTTTCTTCTAGGCAACTTTTTAATTATTTGTGAAAAGATCTACTAATTAGTCATTTGTATATACGGTAATACACAAATTCCATAGAGCTACTTCATTATAATTATTTCAGTGTTCATCAGTGCATTCACAGAACTCCTACAGGAACTTGTCTTTAGACAGATGATCCTTGGCTATGATTAAAGTTGGAATTTGCAAATATAAACAAGTGAAAAAATATTATATAGTTTATAATATATGTTGTACATATTCTCATATAACATTTATTGTGAAAATATTATGTATATATATATATTTTGTTTAAACTACAGGTATCAAGTACTTGCATTAGCAAAAGATGCTGAAATACAAGAAACTGAGCAACAAAAAATTGGATCTGGAAAAAAACTTGTGGTAAATTTAGCTATATAGATCAACATGCTACTTAATTAAAAAAACGTGAGAACAGGATGGGCATGAGTGTTATATGAAGAGTAGAACCAATTTTTCTGATTTTGAACTGATTTTCCTTTTATAGGAATTAATGCAAAACAACTATCTTAAGATAATAAAGATTCAGTGTACAGTATATACAGGTAGTCTTCAACTTACAATCCAGTTCCAAAATTCTGATGGCTTCCCCCACTCTAGCTCTGCAACTGGCTTCTATTTACAGCCTTTTGCAGCATCCCAAGGTCACATTATCACAATTTATGATGGTCTTGCTAAAAACAGGAGCTTATTTCTAGTTTACAGCAAACCAGGCCCATAGCAAACAGTAGGCTCACTTAATGACTACTGCATTCACTGAACGAGTGCCACAAAAAAGATCATAAAATAGAATCGGTCACATGATGACCTGCTTATGGATGTAATTTGTGTGTGTGTTTATATAAAATTAAAATTTTTATATATGTGTATATAATTCAAAATATCTACTATTACCAGCAAACACTTCAATGTTCTACTGCTGGCATTTCAGTTTAATCTACCTGTATTCTCTGGAATGGCCAAATGACCAAAGCCCTTCCTTCTACTATCTGCTTCCACATAACTCTTTTCTTTATTTATATACAATATATATATAAATTCTCCCCATTTGCATGGCTATCACTTACATGTCCTTACAAATATATTATCTTCATATAATGTATTAATGCTAGTTCCCAAATAAGTTTAATCATGTATTCTCTCTATTATATTCTTCATAATAAATATATTTACTCTTAGTATTCCATTCATTTCCTGAATCTCCTTATTCTTCAATAGGGGTTATCTAACTATCCCCTTAATCCTTTCTGGATTTATCTTCTTATTTCCATGACTAATCAAATGTCCTAGGTACTTGACCTCAGATTCCACATATTGCAATTTCTTTTTTTTTTAAACTCTCAGGCCCTGTTGTCCTAAGAAATTCAACAACTCATTTATGCCTTTTTTCAACATAATAACCGCTTCTATTAAATCTACTTATTATCAGATCATTCAGATGGAAGTTTTCCTGCTGCCAAAACTTCATCAATGTCTCCATTAACCAATGCATACCTATTCTTCCTTTTTCTGTCCTCCACTGAGGACAACACATCAATAAACAAATTAACTCCTTTCTCTATAGGGCTATCTTCCAAACCCTTCCACACTTTAGTATTTAACTCCACACAACCCGTGCTCTGACAGATACTCCACTGGATCTAAATTCCTATTAAGAGAACCCAGTTCTCTTGGAATAACTCCATCATAACAACATTAGTGAGCCACCGCTTAAATGCACAAAGGCCAAACATACACATCACCAGATCCATCAAATTTTTTTACAAACATGCTACTGGTTTCTTCTTCCCAGTCTATGTTTTAGCTAGTAATCCTCTGACCATGCCATCCTCCACTCCTTTCACAGAAGAACTTCAACTTCAACTTTCTCTGTATCATCAACAAATACTGTAATGTCCCCACTTAAGGAAACTACACATAAACAGTACATGTTACTGCTGGCATCCTGGCTTCTAAATCAGCTAAACCAGGGGTCCCCAACCGCCGGTCCGCGGACCGGTACCGGGCCGCGGAACAAGCCTTACCGGGCCGCTGGTTGCTGGGCGCCGCCATCTTTTTTTTGGTAAAAAAGCGCTTCTGGTGAGCTTTTCCGGGTAGAAAGCTCACCGGAAGCGCCTTTTCGTCATAAAAAGATGGCGGCGCCCAGTTGACGCCGGTACCGGGCCGCGGCGCCCAGCTGATGTCGGAACCGGGCCGCGGCGTCGAAAAGGTTGGGGATCCCTGAGCTAAACTATCGCCTCAAGCTTCAGAGAAATACAAAGCTTCTAATTTAAGGCATACAATGCACAAGTCCAACTCAAAATACTTTCTAGCTAGCCAGACCAAAAGTCCAACTCTTCTTTGAGAAGCAATCCCTTCCCCAAGGAAATATCCATTAAGCCACCAACTATCCTTTGCCTTCCCACTTCTGGACTAAAATCCTCAAAAGCCTACCCTTATCCAGGTAATACTGGTCTCAAAATAACATAAATATTTATCCCTCTGGCTACATATTGTAGTTCCTAATTCCTCTCTCTTTTCTTTTTTACAAACAAACAATATTCCATAGGATATATTCAAAATGAACACACATGCAAACCATGAAAGTTGTAAAAAAAAACCTTCAGAAATAAAGCAACCATATTTTGGGTCACTATTCTGAAATATCAAACTAAAAAATCAAACTAAATCAAACTAAAAAAAGAAAATCACACTTCAGAGCAGGAAAGAAAACATATTATTCAGATTTAGATCTAGCAATACTCCTCCCTCTCAGCAGAGAAAAGAAAAAAAATGTTTAAAATGAGCAGCAGACAAGCCCCCTTTCCTACTTCTCTCTTTCAAAGCAAAAAGTCCTTGCGTAACAATCTGACAGAAGGGGGGTAGAGGGAGTGGAAAAAGTTTCACCTACACAAATTCCATTCCTCTTAACAAAATACTTTTCCAATTCTCTCTAACTTTATTAAATCATACCTATTTTCCATAAATATCTTTCACACCATGGGGTATTTATATCTCCATTTGCCTTAACAACAACAACAACAATATCGAAACCTCACTGTTTTTCAGCACAAAGGTCTCAAGGACACCCTGCTTTATGAGCCTCAGGGCTTATCACACACTCACATTTGTACAGCAGTCAGAGTTTTCTTTTGAACCCATATCTCATACATAAAGTTCCATTTTTCTATTTAAAACAATCATCATAATTATTTCAGGGAACTTTTCACAAACCAATAAACTCAATTTCTTAAACAACAATCTGTGTACGATTACCACATCCTCCCAGAAGATTTTGGGAAATAATTACACATAGACACTTTCATGCAAACATACCATTATAAGCATCCATAGCCCACTCTTCAGACAGTGGAAAAGGGAGTGGCTTTAATCACAGTGTGACTACTACCTGTCTCTAAATATGGTCACTCCCTTCTAAAGACATAATAACCTCCTCGGAGGGGAAGAGGGGGACTATAAATAATTTATTTTTCAGGATTCTTAACAAACATTTTGTTTCAGGGGCCCATATTCCACCCAAGACTGTTATTCCCTCCTTTAACTGTTTCCTTTAATAGAAATCACGCTGCACTTCAAAAAGGAAGACTCAGTCATCATCAATTGTTCAAGGAGGGACAGATCACCCAGTGAGACTTAACTAAGTACCCCTTACGTACTAGTGCACCGGTGCTCTCCACTTGGGCACCGGTGCTCTCCACTTGGGCTACTTCCTCATTCAGCTCCTTGTTTAGGGTCTCCAGCAGTTCATTTGAAGAGCAAATCCATAATCCACCTCCAGAGAAGGAGAGACCTCCCAAATTAGCCACTGAAAACAGCATGGGTGCCCCCCAGTCTACAGACAGCTTACCTCCACCAGCGGCAAATTGGATGTCTTTGAATCCCTGTTCGCAAGCCAGTTGTGAGAAAATGATAAAACACAACTGGAGACAGTAAACAAGAGCTTTATTATTAAGCTTTTACAAAAGGGAATTCTGCACATAGCAGAAAGCATCTTTCCCAGGAAGGCTGGGGAATATATATATATATATAGGTTCAAATATACAGTCTCTGCCCCTTTCCTGGGTTCATAATCTATTCAACTACATAATTCCCTATGCCACACCTGTAGTGTACCAACTGTTTTCCTTTCTTTGGAAACCACCCTTGTTCTCATGGCATCTTCTCATTATGTTCTTCTGAACAATGGATCATTAACCAGTTCCATTCAGGTCAGAATGACCCTAGCATCTCTTACATTAATTCTCAAGCCAAAATACAAACCCCATGTTCCTGATATTTACTTTAGAACATAACACATTACAAAACAGTACATATTTGTTAGATACAGTTATACATACATACATACATACATACATATATTATTTCTACATATAACAATACATGTGTATATAATTTATTTATAAATATATAAAATACACTTTAAAATATAAAATATAACACATACACATACACACACACATATTTCATCTTTTAATTTAAACAAAAATGCAAATATAGCATCAACGATAATTGTTTTACTGCCAATTTTTTGTAATGCGGTATTGGAGTGCAGGATGGATTTATAGTGTTGTATAATGTAACAAGCTAGAGAGTTGCAAGTAGCTTATTGCCTTTTCAGGTATAAATAATCAGTGCTATTGCTTACAACTACACCTAAGTATATATCCTAACTCTAACCTTAACCCTTTCCTGGGAATAAATCCCATTGATCTTAATAGTTTTAGTTTTTGTACAAAGGTGTGTATAGGATTGTATTATAAATTAATTTATATAGTCACAATCTTCAATTCTGCCATGGGGTTTATGCTGGTTTTCCTAAAAAAAGATCTTCCATATCAATAGGGGAAAACAAGTGGTTACATTTTTATCTTTGACATAATTTTAAAAGGATCCATTGAAATGTTGAATACTATGGAAAAAGTAAGCAAAAGTTTTATTTCATGTTATATGTACAAGGTGGGTGTTTTTTGTATAATTTAATCTCATCCTGGCTTACTTTACCGCATACATTTTTTTGCTTTGGGAGCAGGGCTTATCTAATTGAAACTAGAGAGTAATTAAAAGAAGGAGAAATCAAAGAAAACTAAAGTGCAACATTTTAAAACATTTCTTATAATTTATAGACTAGGAACAGATTAGTCTCTCATTTACCTTATGATGTGAAACCAATCTTCTGGTTTATGAAGCTTACTCCTTTTCTTAAACAATGAAGTATGCTGAAATTAGTGTATGCCATTTATGACTTTGCTATGTGGCATTTTATCTCAGGTTGAAAAATAATTTTAATTGAAGTGAAATTGAAAGCTGCTGTTAACATATGCTCCATACTGCTGTATTTTGTCTCTTCATCTGTTTAAGGTGGACTGGATTTCAAACATTGGAGAGCAAGCCCTGGACGTATGTGTTGTTTCATTTAATCAGCTTGTTTCCAGCATATTTGTTCTTGGGGAGAGAAATTTGTTTTGCTTTAAGGATAATGGACAAATTCGGTTCATTAAAAAGCTTGACCACAGCCCAAGTTGCTTTCTTCCATACTCAGGTTTGTGAATAAAAGCAATTAATAGCATTGTTATAAAGAAGGTTTACAAGTTCTAATTCTAGCATGTTGTTATGATATGTACAGAATAACCCTTGAGTAACAAGGATATGCACCTGAAAACGTTTATGAGAGTAGTTATAAATAATTATTCAGCCACACACAGATACACTAAATTGAGTTAAAGTTTACTTTAAGAAATAGCACAGTCCAATAAATGGTTCAAGTCATATACGCTTAACAGTCCAAAGAATATCCAATTACAAAGTCTTCTTACCGGTTGCCTTTGTCATTTACAGTAAACAGTAAAATATCAAAGTATAAGCACAGTGTAAATACAATAGAGAACCTTAGATAGCAACAGAATCTCAGAGAGAGCAAGCTATGATCTCTAGCTCCCTCTTATGGTAATTTGCAATATAATCAACCAATCAGAATATAGTATAAATCAATACAGTGATTTTGTCTTAAAGCCACAAACATACATTGTTGGTTTATATATTGCCAACCCAATTAATTGGTGGACAGATTCCTAACATTCTCCCCTTTGGGTAGGTCAATATATAATACATTACTACTTTAAACCATAATTCTCACAACACTCTTTATGCTTAACTGCACCTTGAGCTTTCGTGAAAAGATCTGCAATATTATGTTCAGTCATGCAGTATTCTAACTGAATTAATTTATTTTGAACACACTTTCTAATGTTCAAATATCTCAAATCAGTATGTTTAGACCTTGTTTTAACAGCTAAATTTGTAGCCATGCTAATTGCACATTGATTGTCTTCATAAACAATAAACGGATCACGTACAGTAATTCCAATATCCTTCAACAATTGTTTATAATATATCAATTCCGTACACAGTAATGATAAACATGAGAATTCCGCTTCCATAGTGGATAAACTAATATGTTGTTGCCTAATAGACTTCCATCCTATTAAAGCATTACCCAACATTACCACTATATCTGATGTTTACTTATCAGTAGCAAAACTTGCATCAGCATATGCAGTTAACATTAATTCATTACTTGGTTCTATAATAATAATAATACTTTATTTGCGGTCACAGACCAAAACACAAGTACAACAAAAGAAGAACATGGGAAAATTAATCATGAACAATTGGTCACCAAAAACTTGACTAAGGGGAATTACAGCGTTCTCTGATGGTTACAGCTCTTTAAAAAAAAATTGGAAACCAAAGAAGTGATATATGAGGAATCATCCCCTAGACAATATAAGAACAAATTACTAACATTGGGTCTAGAAGGGTCTGTTTCAAGGAGAGACAGTAACTTAGATCTGCCTGCGTTATATATAGGGTAATATAAAAAGACATGCTCCACAGTTTCAACCTCAGCTCTGTCACAGGGGCATAGCCGCCTGTTAATCGGGAGCTTCTTAAATCGCCCATCCAGTAGTGCTGAGGGCAAAACATTAAAGCGAGCTAGGGAGAAAGCTCTTCTATACTTGGGAATGGTTAGAGTGTAAAAATAGGAAGCCATCCTTAGTCTGTAATTATTAAATTGCTGAAGATCAGAGGGAAGCAAATTTTTTTAGCTCTGGCTCGTAGATATTGCAACTCAATGTCCGCAAGCCATTGGACTATCCTAAATTGGGCGTCCTTAAGGCCATAATCTCCCAGGGCATCCCCCGTAAAACCTAGCAGGTGTAATTTCTTCATCAGCTCCCTCTCCCAGCAAGAAATATGAGAATCAGCCAATGCCAGGGAGAGGTAGCCACCAGGAACTTCCAGAAAGAGCACCCGAAACCACCATTTAAAGGTGTTAATCCACACCATACATTCGACTGATCGAGTGCCCAGTTCCACGTACACCGGATCAAAACCAACACAAGGAGAAAGACCCAGAAGTTTTCTAAAAAAGACAGCCTGGGTTCTTTCAATATAATCCTTGAAGCCCCGTATTCATATGGGAATTCCGTAAAGAGTTTGAGCCAAAGTTTTGGCTTTGTAAATACGCAGAGCAGAAGGAATAAACTGGCCTCCTTGGGTATAAAAAAATCTTAAAATCTACAGGAGGCCGAATTCAGCACCTGGGTTCAATGTCTAGTCCAAGCACCAGTGTTCTGAAATTGAATACCTAAATACTTAAAATGGAAAACCTGCTGAACAGCATTATTACTTGGTTCTAAATATAATTAATAATGGATTATGTGTTTTAAAAACCTAATTATTCGCTTAGCTGCTTGCCAATGCCTTTCATTTGGTTCAGCGTTATACCTAGCCAATTGGTTTACAATGTAAGATATATCTGGTCTAGACCAATTACCCAGATATGATAGACTACCAATTAAGGATTGATATATTTCCTTATCAAACATAGGACTTTTAATATCACTATGTGTAAATTCCTTACTCATTGGTGTCTTAGCAGATTTACAATGCTTCATGTTATAGCGTTTTAATAATTGGCTAATCTTCTTGGCTTACAAAATTTTAAAACCTTTATTCGTTTTCACGTATAATGCTTAATTTCCCCTAAATTTCTAATCCTGAACTTTTTCTGTAATCTATAAACAACATCATTTGCTTCTTGTTCAGTTTTAGTTATAATTGCTATGTCATCCGTAAATAACAGTAATAGAGAAATTAAACCACCTTTTTCTCTTCGGAACAAATAAGGATCAGCTATACCAGCTTCAAAACCTATTGAAACTAATTCCTTTACAATAAATTTATTCCATTCATAACCGGATTGCTTTAAACCATAAAGACTTTAATTTCCAATAATCAGTTTTTCCATCATCCTTTAAACCTAATGGCTTTTTCATATAGATGGTATGTTGTAAAGGTGCATGTAGATATGCAGTTTCAACATCTACATGGTTTATTTTACATTTATTCTTTGCTGCCCAAACTAATGCTACTCTCAATGTATTTGCTCTCAGACTATGTGCAAAAACTTCATCATAGTCCTTATCTGACTGAGCAAATCCTTGAGCAACTAATCTTGCTTTATGGGTAATAGTCCCATCCATACCAGTCTTTATCTTATACACCCATTTGCAACCTATTGCACGCTCACCTGGTGGTAACTTTACATCCTCATACAGCTCTAAATCCTTTAATGATTTTAACTCCCTATTCATAGCTTCCTGCCAAGCTACCCGATCCTTTGTAGGATACAGTTTTATTTCATTGAAGTTAGAAGGTTCTGTATTAACCTGACATACAATGCTTGCTTGAAATCTGTCAAGTGGACATCTCTCCCTAGTTGACCTCCTAGGCAACTCAGTACATGTTGTTGGCATGTCCTCTTCCTTTACCTCCCCTATCAAATCCTCGTCTTCTACAGTCATAGAGGGTTCTTCTATTGATGATTCCTCCATTGAGGATTCCTCCACTATCTTATCATCAATATTATTATCATCAGGATTATCGGTAAACAGTGTAGTCTCAACAACAACACTATCCTGTACCTTATTATATTCCTGTTCAAGCTTTCTCCAGCCAACATGCTCCAGAAATTTAGCACTTGCACTGCAATATACATTAGTAGTATCTGGCTCCCAAAATCTAAATGATCTGTGATTAGCTTCATAACCTACAAAATATAATTGTCTCACTCTATGTTGTCCCCTTTGCCTTACTTGCGTGGGAATATGGACCCATGCTGGGGTTCCAAATGTATGTAAATAACTGAGATCTGGCTTTTTTCCATTCCAACGAGTAAATGGTAATTCACCAGTCGTTGAATTCACTACGTTATTCAAAACATGGTTAGCATACATTATTGCTTCACCCCAAAGTTTCTCTGATAAACCAGAATCTGAAATCATAGTCCTAGCCATAGCCTGTAATGTTTGTCCTCTACGTTCAATATATGAGTTATGTTGTGGTCTATAAGGAGCAGAACGCTTATGTTCAATGCCAGCTTTCTGTAACATGGCTTCAAACTTTCTATTGCTAAATTCAGTACCATTATCTGTTACTAAGCTAATAACTTTCTTTTCCCTTTCAGCAAATTTTAGCTAGTTTACAAAATGCTGGTATGTTTCTATCTTCGTTTTCATTAAATAACTGGAAAAATGATCAATTATACTTAATATGTAACAGGCTCCACCTAAACTAGGTTTCTTGGGTCCAATAATATCAGCAAAAACAACCTCTAATGGTTCACTGGTTTTGAATCCATTTACCCTATTTGCAGGAGTTACCTTGCTTTTTTCATGATTACAAGCATTGCAATTTAAATACTTTGTACAAGGTTTTAATTTTATACCATTAGATAACTCAACAGTTTTCTTTAGCATTTTGAATTTTATATGTCCCATACGTCTATGGAGCAGATGAATACATTCATCATGAGGCTTTTTATTCTCATAAACTGAGTTAACATTAATTAATGGATTATCATGTATAATAAACAAACCATTATCCAATCTTACAGTAACGCTTTTACCCTGTTTTTCAATTAAACATTTATCTCCCTGAAAGGTTACAACAAATCCTGCTTTTACCATTGCTTTTACAGATAGCAAGTTAAATATCAGTCTAGGTACATATAATATCGGTAAACGTTCATTAATACATGAACAATATGCAGTACCTTCTCCAGATGCTCTCAATTTCCATCCATTAGGTAATGATACATGCTGGTTACTCTTTGTCATGTTAACAAACCTCTCTTTACTTTTAGTTATACACTGCGATGCTCCACTGTCAACTACCCATATATCATGGTTTACAGTTGTAGTTGTACTTGATATGGCTAAACTAACATCTTTATAAGCTCTCTGTATATTAATAGCATTCTATTTCTTACCCTTTTTACAGTATCTGGCTATATGACCTTTAGCCCCACAAGAAAAACATTTCCTAACAATATAGGCAGTTGAAGACAGTTTTTCTTTTTGTGGTTGTCTTTCTCTCAGTTGATTTCTGTCTTGCCTTCTTCTTGCCTTCTAATAGTCTTCCAGTTATGCCAGTCAATGTAAGTTCATCTCTGTTTAAAACTTCCAGTGAAGACATATAATCATCATAAGCTTCATCCAAAGAAGAAAGAATGATGTAAACTTGATGCAACTCCAAGAAAATCAGCTCCTTTTCTTTTAGCTCTTGTAAAGTCCTTTTCAACAACTCCAAATGAGCTAACATATCGCCACCTTTTATAAGATGGGCTCTAAATAGTTTACATGTAAGGTGTATGTGTGCACCCACACTATCTCGAACATTAATTCTCTTTAAAATGTCCCAACACCTAGCAGCAGATTCTTCATCATGAATATGGACTAACTGCTGATCACTCAGTGTCAGTCCAATTATACTAAGAGCCTTTTCGTTATCCCGGTTAAAGTCAGCTATTTTCTTTTTATCTTCATCATTCAATGGGTCCCAAGCTGTTACATCCGGTGGACTATTAACTACATAATCCGTCTTTGCGCAGAAGTAGGCTGCACTTCATAGACCAGGAAACATACTTTGTTCCATCCAACCGGGTTATTTGGGATATACTGGTTGACTGTTCTTGTGCCATTGGTAGTTTAACAATAAACCTCAATCGGCTGTCTGAATATGAAACTGTATTTTCACACTGATTCTCAATATCTCTCTGGGCCCATAAACAATGTTATGATATGTGCAGAGTAACCCTTGAGTAACAAGGATATGCACATGGAAACGTTTATGAGAGTAGTTATGAATAATTATTCAGCCACACACAGATACACTAAATTGAGTTAAAGTTTACTTTAAGAAATAGCACAGTCCAATAAATGGTCCAGGTCATATACATTTAACAGTCCAAAGAATATCCAATTACAAAGTCTTACCGGTTGCCTTTGTCATTTATAGTAAACAAAAATATCAAAATATAAGCACAGCATAAATACAACAGAGAACCTTAGGTAGCACCAAAATGTCAGAGAGAGCAAGCTATGATCTCTAGCTCCCTCTTATGGTAATTTGCAATATAATTAACTAATCGGAATATAGTATAAATCAATACAGTGATTTTGTCTTAAAGCTACAAACATACATTGTTGGTTTATATATTGCCAACCCAATTAGTTGGTGGACAGATTCCTAACACATGTCAACCACAATTATACCATTGTAAATATGTTTTGTCTGTAACAATACTTTTAACCTTCATTGCTTTTTGAGTACATAAAAATATTCATTACATTATAATCTATAAATACCATGTTTTCTTTGAAAATAAGACCAGCTCTTATTTTCTTTTGGGCTCAAAAATAAGGACTAGGCCTTATTTTCGAGGATGTCTTATTTTTTTTCACCTACAGGAGGCAGCGAGCCTGAGGGCTTATGAGCGGGAGCGCTTCTACTGCTGGCCCTGTCCTCTGTCCCAACATCTACTTGCCTGCGGCCACAACAAACCAGCCTGCTCTGCCCTCTGCCCTCCATGCCTGCTGGCCCTGCTGCTGCTAGGACATTGGAGCTGGTTTTGCTCAGACTGCTGTTACAATTAGGCAGAAGGCCATGGGGTGCATAGGGATTGTTCCCCCCCCCCATGCCTCTACCCATCTGCTGGGCCTGCTGCACCTTCTGCTGCTGGCCTCGTGGGGCTCTTCACCTCCTGGCCATGCTGCTCTCAGCATCCCTGCTGGACTGCTTCTGCCTGGTGGGGGCAACTTGTTGGGTGCCAAGGAGGGAGGAGCAGTCTCCCCTTCCTCTCCATCTGTCCTGCTGCAGCGCTGCCATGGAGCTCCTGCCTGCCAAAGCAACAGCTCACCCAACCCACTTTTCACTGGTGTATAGATATTCGGTTAGATCGAATGGGTTTATTTTTCCTGCAGGCAGGCAGAAGCTCCATGGTGGCCCTGCAGTGGCATTGAGGAGGGAGGAGGAGATAATCCCTTCCTCCTCTATCAGTCTGCTCCTGCCTGCTGCAGGGCAATTTTTGGGCTGCAAAGAAGGAAGGAGCGGTCTCCCCTCCCTCCTCCTGTTTGTCTTGCTCAGGGTTGCCTCGGAGCTCCTTCCTGCTGAAGCAGTAGCTCACCCAACCCACTTTCTGCCGGTGTGTAGATATGCAGTTAGATTGAATGGGTTTGCTTTGTTATCATGTAAATTATCCCCAAGGAAAGGAGGATCAGAGGAAAATCCCTCCTCCCACTTGCAGATCACTTGCTGAAAAAGTTTTCCTCACTCTGTCTGCCCATTGTGCAGGCGCTGCCGATTCTCCTTTCCTTGGGGATGATTTATGCTGCAGCCATGGAGGGAGAATTTTTTGGATGTGCATGTGTACAGGGCTGGTGGGGCTGATGAACAGAGGGGGTGGATCTGGTTTAGGTGAGGGTGGAGCAGAGGGCAGAACTGCAGACACCCCTCGGATCTTGTTGGCTGCCTCGTTCATCATGGTTTGAGTTTGCTTGAGATGCGGAAAAGGGAGAAAGATCAGAAGTGCCTGCACAATGGGTGAGCAGGGTGAGGAAAACTCTTTCGGAAAGTGATCTGCAAGTGAGGGGGGGATTTTCCTGCCAATCCTCCTTTAATTGGGGATGATTTTTGTGAGGACAAAGCAAACCCATTCAGTCTAATTTCATATCTACACGCTGGCAGAAAGTGGTTGGGTGAGCTACTGCTTCGGCAAGTAGGAACTCTGTGTCAGCCCAGCAGCGGGACAGACAGATGGAGGAGGGAGGGGAGATCACCCCTTGCTCCTTTGCATCACAAAAATTGCCCCGCACCAGGCAGGAGTAGATGGATGGAAAAGGAAGGGACATTCTCCCCCTCCATCCCACTGCAGGACCACCAAGGAACTTTTGCCCGCCAAAATTGCAGGGCAGCTGAGAACAGTCCAGCCAGGAGGGTGAAGAGCCCTTGCAAGGCCAGCAGCAGTAGGTGCAGCCTGGCAGAGGAAGGGGGGGGGGTGGAGCAGGTGATCCCTACACGCCAGTTTTCTGCTTCATAGCAGCAGCCTAAACAAGACCTGAGCTCTTGGCCTGATGGTGTGCAAACCATGGTCACTGCCTGATCCAGAGCCACAAGATGAGCTGTGGAAGACAGGCCCTCAGCTGCGAGGTTGCCTGATGCTGCGGGCAGAGCATAGACTGGCAAGAGTGCTCTGGAAACACCCAGGTGCCCAGAGAGACAGCTTCTGGCCTTCGCTGGCTCAGCTGATCTGCAGGCTGTGATTAAGGGACCAAACCTCCATGAGGTGACTGGGGAAAGGAAGGAGCAACCATGCCTCGGGGATCGCTACCTGTATTTCTGAGGGGACACACAATTGGGCTGCCTCCTGTGCTGGCCACGCCTATCTCCTTCTTTAGGGCGTATTTTGGGGGTAGGGTTTATATTAGGCCCACCCCCAAAAAAACAGGCTAGGGCTTATTTTTGGGTTAGGTCATATTTTCGGGGAAACACAGTATGTGTTAACTTTGAACTATAGTAGTAGACCTTGCAGTTATTTTATTAAAATGGATTTCTATATGTGAACATCAGATTTGTAAAATGGATTCAGTGATGTCATTCTAAATTTAACATTTATGAACCAAATTAACATCTCTTTCCAGAGAAATGGAATATAAACTGTGGAAATTATTTTTTTGGGAGAATGGTTAAGCTACTCTGGTAAAATATTAGTTTGCATTTCCATGATGAGCACAAATTAAGTAGTATATGATTGTATGTCAGCCCTTGTTCCATTCCTTTGTGTCTCCAATGAAGGAATTATCTTCTCTTTGAGTAGCATAAATAACAGCCAGAAGGAAAAAGGATGGCTGAATTTGTTCCCCTTCTTATATATCATTTTATCTTGATCTCTGATCTCTTATTCCTATCTCATCCCTATCCCATCCCACTCTATCCCATCCCAATCCTATTCTATCTTACTGCTATCCTACCCTATCCATCCCGCCTTTATTATTTGCTTGCATGTACAAAATTCCTGGTCACCTATAGTAATTAAATAAATTGTTAAATGGAATACTAAAGCTGACCATTTAAAAGGGTTATAATATATAAGATGGGTTGTATTTGTTTATGATGTTCTCCATTTTTTTAATAATATAATCCATTCTGATCAGGGTAGGGGGTTAAATTATTAAATTGAAACTGAGCAATTATACTTTTTTATTTAAAAAAATTGTACTGTATCTCTTTGCTCCAAACTTTTTGTTACAGACATATTTTACTATTCCTTTCTAGTTTATTATCTGAGACTACAATAGACTCAAAAAAATTGATCTTACTAGCAAAAATATAGTCATAACATTTCTAGGAGTTATCCTTATTTGTACATTTATTTCACATATATTGGTGTAATATATAAGAATGTCTCTTAAAAGAAGAAAAATAGTTAAGAGGAATATGAATATAACATCTTTCCCAAACTCCTTACATATGTTGTAGTGTCTGGGACTGCCATAAACACATTGATTGGAAATCACAACAGCATCCTACATGTTTATCAAGATGTGACTCTGAAATGGGCAACTCAGCTTCCTCATATTCCTGTGGCAGCACGACTGGGGAAATTACTGTACGTAGTCTTAGCATAATTTTAGCTTAGAATCGTGTGTGTGTGTATTTCCTAGAATAAAATTTGAGCTTATTTTAATTGTCCTTGATTAGCTTGTGGTTGTTAAGCTGTGCTGTTTGATGAAATGAATTGTAATCAGAGAAAACGCATACCATAATAAATTTGTTACTATTTGAATTATACATGCCATGTTGTCTTTCTTTCAATTCAATTAAGTTACTGAAACAATTTTATTACAATGTATGTTTTAGTGTTGTGAATAATATTGATAATCATAACATATTTTTGTTATTTTCTGTTTTGTTATATTCTATTTTATTCTATACTGTTTTTCAAGGAGTTCAGAATAGTACACATTACATTCCTTTTTCTGATATTTTTCTTATAGCAATAATTCTGGAGGCTGGTTGGATTGAGAATAATGAGCTCATGTGAGCTTCCATAACTGAAGATGGAGTTGAACATGTATCTCTCCAGTCACTCCAACACCTTACTGTTAACCAATATTGTTGACCTAATATTGTTGCTATGTAAAAAAATGTATTAGTTATCTAGCTGAGCACATCAGGGCCCACACTCATATAACACACTTTTTGAATGGATTCATTTTATTGTCATCATGGAAAAGTAATTGTTATCTAATTTTTGATGTATTGAACATTGTCTACATTTGCTTTTATATATTTAAGTTGTATTTAAAGTATAGCATGGATCGTAGCACCTTTGAAAAATATTAACTTAGAATATCTAGCTAAGGGACAATGTGTAGTATATCGATCACTTGACTTTTTTTTCCCTACTGTTAATTCATAGGCAGTTGTCAATTTTTATAATGCTCCTCTTTTGGTTACATCTTTTGATTGCTGTCTGTCTCATTACTGAATAGGCACTACAAGTATATTTATTTCACACAAACTAATACAACTCCAAGTTAATTTTCATTTTAAAAAAAACCTCGAGGGAACACATACCTTCCCACTAGCTTTTACACAAGTTTTTTTTAAAGTCAGAAGATCCATTTAAATATTTTATGTGATATAAAATTTATCCTTCACTATTATTTTCAGTAACTTAAGCAAGAATTTTAATTGAGTAGAGTGATAGTTAGATGGTCTTGAAACAAGATAGTACCTGGCAGAAGTGTTTAGAAATGTTTAGTTGTTGATAATATTTGATGCCAAAATATTTTTAATTCAATACTTCAAACTGGAAATAGGAAATTAAAAATGTGAATGTTAATTATTTAAAATCATAAGTAGTAGATCAAGTGAAATGAGTTTGACTCCTTTTTGCAAGTGAATTTTCTTGGAGAAAACTATAATAGCCATTAGCCCTCTGGAAAAATATTCAGAATTAATTATACAGTAGATGCAAACCAAAGATGGAGGTCTCCAGCTATTCTTATTAAGAGTTGTAACATTATTAAATTTTATATTTTGTAGTTATTACAACAACATATTTTTAGTTTGAGAAAGGAGTATTTATTAATATATCAAAATAAGTTGCCAAAAGCAGAAAAATATTCAAACATGATACAGATTTCTTTCCTAAAGCATCCAAATAACTGGATAATAATTGTGGGGAAACATTTTAATTTTATTTCAATATGTCTTCTTTGTATGTTTATACTGTTTTAAGAAAATAAGTATTTCTTAACTGAATAGTATAAGAGTTGGCTTTATATTGTTACAATATAATAATTTATTTTTTTCTTTTGCAGAAATTTGAAAGGTGTGATTGTTACACTGAGTGATAGTGGCTATCTACAATGTTCTTACCTTGGTACTGATCCTTCTTTATTTCAAGCTCCTAAAGTTGAAGCTAGGAATATTAATTATGCAGAATATGATGCAGAAATGAACAAACTCCAGAAAATCATTAAAGAAGTCAGGAAAATTAAAGGTAATCTTCATTTTTTCTTAATATTTTAAATAGTGAAGGTAGTCTAAATGGATGTGTTTTGCAGTCTTAGTCATATTCTTCACATGTGCCTACTTTTCAGATAAAGAGAGCTGAAATGGAAAAGATGGGAGTAGGTTTGCTACTTTCATCCAAGCTATATTCACATGTCTTTTAGGCCAGGGGTCCCAATCCAAATGGAACTGCAGGTGCTTGCACCCGCCCACTTACCACTCACAAGGGAGTATCCCCTCTACCCCCCATCCCTGCTGGACCATCAAGCCAGAAAGGTTGGGACCATTGTTTTAGACAACTAGGATATTGTATATGTGTCATGAATATATGGGATTTAACCTTAAATTGAAGTTCCACATCTTGTAAATGTATACAACTTATTTAGATTATTTTTATTGAGATAATTAACTAAATTTGCTAATTCCTTAAATCTTTCAGATATCCTGCCTAAGTCTGAAAAAAGTGAAGATTTTGCACTTGGTGTGACAGTCTTGCCTGATCTGGATTCAGTTTCTGTATGTAAATTTGAATGCTGAATTTAGATATAACAATTACAACAGTGCTTCTCAAATTTGGGTAAATTATCCCAAATTGGGTAAAAGTTATTTTGCTTTGGATACTTACACAGAAACCCATTACTCAATCACAACAGGGACATTTCAATTTACTTAAAGTGCTTTACATAAGTTGGGCAAAAAGAACTTTCTGATAAGCCGTTTTGTTTTGGATAATGAAAGAAAAAGTTTCAGAAGCACTGAATTACAGGTTTCAAAAACATGTTAATTATTTAGATATAGATGGGTATATAAGTATTTAATTTGTCTATATAAACTCATTTGTGTATAGAATTAAGTGTACCTTTAGATTTGTATATAATGACACATATTCTAAAAGCAGAACAGTTTCTATTTAGATGTTTAATATCAAAATACATTTCATGCAGCTGCAGTCCCAAAGTGGGTAGTCCTGATTGTGTTCATGATGCCTTTATTACTGAATGAATCTGTTTTCTCCATCCACTGAAGTTTGGAGAAAAATACTGTAAAACAGCAGCTAGTTGTAGGTTGAATTATACTTTCTTGAGGCAGCAGACTAGTGGTGGTGGAAGAGGCTTGTCCCATCTTCTGCTGCATAGGACAGGATAGATTTTCATTTATTCATTTAACAGTGATGAAAATATTACTATATAAATCAGCCATAGCAAAACTAAAATTTTGATTTTTGCGAAGAGATCTAAGCAGCATGCCTGGAGAGTAAATGGCCAGAATATTAAACAAGTAAAAATCTTTAAATCTTTAGGCATGATTTTTCACAGTTCCACTAAACTCAATGCACTTCAAAACTATGACATACAAAATGCTAAAAAACCAAAAGCCAGTGGTCACAATCCAATAACTTCCATTTCACCAGAGTATCAGCACTACTGAAAATATTTTCAGCTGAGGTTTGGCTTGCACACATTTCTGGTGCAAGGACCAACCAAATAGTCCCAAAAATCCCAGACATGAGCTGAGATTGAGCCTCTATGGATAAGTTGCCATTGAAACCCCAGCTAACGTATTGTACTCTCTATAAGGATTCATGGACTCATTTTATAACTACCCTGATAAAATATCTAGGAAATCCTTATCTCTTTTATGTACAGTTGTTTCTGTGTGTTACGTATGAAACAGGCCTTGAACATAGTTACATTCTGGTATATTATCTGTAAAATTAGGCAGAATTTGGCCAACCATTAATGATCTCACCATAACTGCAATGTGGTACTGTATCTTGTTCTACTCTGTTTCATTTTATTTTAATGTTCTAATTTTTAATTCTGGCTTGTGATCATAGAAAAATATTGATCGATTGATATATTCAGTTCAAATATTCTGTTCAAATGGCAGGTTGATAATAGTAATAGCAATAGCACTTGAACTTATATACTGCTTTATAATGCTTTACAGTCCTCTCTAAGCGGTTTACAGAGTCAGCATAATTGCCCCCAACAAATTGGGTCCTCATTTTACCCACCTTGGAAGGATGGAAGGCTGAGTCAACCTTGAGCCTGGTGGGATTTGAACTGCCAAATTGTAGGCAGCTGGCTGCAGAAGTAGCTTGCAGTACTGCACTCTCACCACTGCGCCACAAAGGCTCAATAAGGAGATACAATGGTAAAAATTTGTGAACCCTTTTGAATTTTCAACATTTTTGCATAAATATAATATAAAATGTGATCTGTTCTTTCTATAAATTCTAAACCTAGATACAGAGAACTCAATTAAACAAATGAAACAAAATGATGATTATAATCAGGTGTGAGTATTGGAGGTCTTGCCTTATTTAAATAACAGAATTCTGAATATTCACTATCAAAAGTATCTTCTCAATACAGCTATATGGAAATGTGTCATAGGTTGAAGAAAGATTTCTGAGGATGACTGAAAAGAAGTTATTTTACACACAGGCTGGAAATCTTATAAAACTATTTCCAAAGAATTTGGACTCCACCAGTCCACCATTAGGCAGATTTTGTATAAATTGAGGCAATTCAATACCTTATTTACTCAACAATACCACACCAAGAGAAAGGCTTGTTATATTCTGGGGAGCCTCAAAGAAGCCTAAGATAATGTCTAAAGAAGCTAAAGGCGTCTCTTGAATTCATGAATTTCAAAGTCCATGAGCACACTTAAGAGAATCCTGAACAATAATATGTATGGCAGGATTGCAAGGAGAAGGTCACTACTCTTGAAAAAGAACATCACTACTCATCTACAGTTTGCAAAAGACTATGTGGATAAGCCAGAAGGCTATTCAGGCCCTGACACTTTTCCAGTTTCTCATACTTCTTTCCGATGTTGCTATTATTTGGCATCATTACATCTATCACCACCATTGTTAGGAAGTTTCTCCTTAATTCCAGGTTGCATCTCCGTTAGACTGCTGAGAGAGTCTACTATGGGTGTTCCTCATGTCTCCTCATCACATGACTGAGCCTGCCAATCATTGACCTTACCACCATTGCTATGGATAACTCAGCTTTATCCTCAGTCTGCTCAGGAAGACAGTTGTATTCTGAATAGGCTTTCCCAGAGAGAAAGCTTAAAAATTTGGCAAAAATTCAAAATTAAAGCAAAAGAAGCACAATCGGCTGATCGGCATGAAGATTACAGCAGCTCCCGGGGACCTGGAGCCACCGTGAAGATGCCACACAGGGGCTGGAAGGGACCTTCCTCCCCACACAGGGTGTTTCCAGGGCCAGAGATCATTTCCTGGTGCTGAGGGCCCCTGCAGATTAACTCTTCAATTGTAAGTCGTTGCGGAAGCAAGCGGAGCAGCAATAGAGGTTACATTGCCCTAATCGGCTAAATTTAGCTGTACGAGGCTCCCACTGCACAACTGAACTGTACTGCGAGGTGGGAGATCTATCCCCTGCTGGAAAGGCCTCAAGGCTTTCCAGTCTGCATGGCCTGGGATCAGTGACTGCGTAAACAGTAACTCCCGATCCAAGGAATGGAAGGGGAAGTAGGCAGAGAAGAGCATTTATTTATTTATTTATTTATTTATCTATCTATCTATCTATCTATCTATCTATCTATCTATCTATCTATCTCTTTGTTTGTTTGTTTATTTATTTATTTGTTTGTTTGTTTGTCAGTCGCTTACAAGATAATAGGTATAAGTATATACATAGTTATGAATACATGAAATGGGTACATATAAGAAAAATAAAAGAAACAATAGGACAGGGACGGTAGGCACGTTGGTGCGCTTATGCACGCCCCCTACAGACCTCTTAGGAAAGGAGTGAGGTCAATAGTAGATAGTCTAATGTTAAAGTTTTTGGGGTTTGGGGAAGAAACAACAGAGTCGGGTAGAGTATTCCAGATATTGACCACTCTGTTGCTGAAGTCATATTTCCTGCAATCAAATTTGGTGCGATTAACCTTGAGTTTGTATCTATTGTGTGCTCTTGTGTTGTTATGGTTGAAGCTGAAGTATTCATTGACAGGTAAGTCATTGCAATGTATGATTTTATATGCCATGCTTAGATCAGACCGAAGACAGCGTAATTCAAGGTTTTCTAGGTCTAGAATTTCAAGTCTGGTGGCATAAGGTATTCTACAACGAGTAGAGGAGTGAAGAACACTTCTTGTGAAATATTTCTGGACTTTCTCAACTGCTAATATCAGATACGTAATGTGGGTTCCAGACTGATGAGCTGTATTCAAGTATTGATCTAGCAAATGTTTTATATGCTCTAGTATCGCGTCGAGCGACCGGTCCGTTGTTTCGATCTTCCGGTTTGCTGCTGA